CCACAGGTAAGTACCGGCCCTGCGGGGCCTTGCAACCAACAAGTACCCTTGCGGGTCACACACACACTCAACCGACAAGCACTCAGACAGGCATGCAAACCWGCAGGCACGCTCACACACACAGACATGGAAATCACAGCAGAATGCGGGAATTTCAACAAGGCATTCATTCCAGCGGCAAATCCCAGAAATCAGCAGTGTTCTCAGTCTGTGTTTTTGGCGGGTCATTACACCACAATTAATCCATCAAGCCAGTTCCAGACTGAGTGGAAAAGGCAAAAGTAGAAAGGAAGTCCATGTTCAGCATAGAAAGTTGCAACGGAGCCTGATCGCCCATCACGCGTCCAAACCTGAAGTCGCTTGGCATTTCTTGAGTGCTCGCCAACAGTGCTTCATTTTCTTGCAGAAGTGTTTGCAGTTGTTTACATCACCACATGAACATTCATGAACGCACTTACTCTCATGTTCACGAGACCTAAATGCCAGGAACGATCTTGCAACCAGACTCGTCTTCTTGCTTACTCAGCATGCAGGAAAACAGATGGCAATCACACTGGCGCCAGACGCCCACACAAAGCTCAGAGATATCGAGGCCAAGAACACAGTTCGGATTCAAACTTGCTTCCGACGGCTATGGCGCCTGTGCGCCCACACAACACCCAGCTGACACTGTATTCCCAGCAACTGTTCACACGCACGCTACTCCGGATCTCTCTGGATGTCCCACACACACACCCTGCATGCAATACTTCACACACTTACATGCTACAGCCTACCTCTAACCTATGGCAGCTATGGCTGCCTTCTACCTTCCCTACCAACTAGCGGTTATGGCTGCTTCGCCTCCCTCACAGCCCACTTCTCCTTCGGGCACCTGCAGACCTTGCACAAGACACTCAGGCAGCGCTACCGCACGGCTCACATGCAGAATGAATAAATGACTGGACGCTGCCTCTTTATTTATACTTCGGATGGTCGCTGGTCTGCCCCTTTCCACCCATCGGGCCCAGGTGCACATAGTCCCATATGGTACTTGCTGACCGGACAAAGTGCAACTGGGACTGGGTACCGCTGACTAGGCGAGGTTGGACTCCCCACTTGCCCACTTGCTTCTAGCCTAACCTACGCAATTCTTGAAAGGCCACTTCCGGACCTTCCGGAAGTCTGTAGACTTGGCCTTTCGGGACTGTAGCAGCTACGACCTTGACTTTTCAGGACTGTAGCAGCTACGACTTCCACACAGATACAACCTGTGTTAAATTCCGGGCCGCCCATTGGCCCAGCCTCCGTCCGGCAGGGGTCCCGGGCAGCCCGGCCGGTTGGGTCCCCC